CCCCTTCCCCTCCCCCTTTTCTGATGAAGGGTCTAGGCCCGAAACGTCAGCCTCTCTGCTCCTATGATGCTGCTTGGCCTGCTGTGTTCATCCAGCCCTGCACCTTGTTGTCTTCAATCTTTCAACCCTACTTTGTTGTACCTATGTGTTCGATCAGAGCCACAACTTATTTTTCCTAATTACTGCCATTTCAGCCTGAATTACTACACCATGTAAGATTTCCTGTTTGGTACAAGGGATTCTCTAGAGTTAACACACACAATCCTGAATGTCTGGACTGAACTTGGACTCAAGCCTGCACCTACAGTCTGTGCCCCTGCATTACAGCTGTAGATTTCTTCTGTTCCAGAACATCTCTGTAGGTTCTGAAATGCTTTCTGCATTACTGTCTGAAGTATTATTCTGTGTTGTGTTGCCATGTATCATTGTTATTATTAACAATTAGATGTAACCTGTTAGTCTTGTAGTATCCTGGGTGACCAGCATGTTTTAGTTTCTGTATATTCTGTATATTCTATTATTTTGTATAATTTTATTTTCTTGAAGGCCTTCCATCTAATTTCTAATTTCTCTCTGTAGGCACCATTTAGAAATAATGATGATAACCACTGCTCACTCTGTTGTAGGATGACCTACCACTGGCAACATACTGCTGCTCACCATGTTATATCAGTGGGCTCTTTCAAGCCTGATGTGGTCTTGAGTAGATGAGGACAGCAGAAATGTTTCATAGATATCCCGCAACCCTCATCAACCATGGAACAACCAACAGGCGGACTCATTACTCACTGCATAAACGAATAGTCCCCATCTCTCTTTTGGTCTTTTCATATCTGATCTTCACTCTGTGACTGAGATAGTAGGAACTGCAGATGCTGGAGAATCTGAGATAACAAGGTGTAGAGCTGGATGAACACAGCAGACCAAGCAGCAGTTTTCTGAAGAAGGGTCTAGGCCCGAATCGTCAGCTTTCCTGCTCCTCTGATGCTGCTTGGCCTGCTGTGTTCATCCAGCTCTACACCTTGTTATCTCTCTTCACTCTGTGACTGTTGCTTTCTGACTCTCCTGCCATTGCAAACAAGTTTCCCCTGATTTACTCAATCAAAATCCTTCAGCATTTTGAATGGCTTTATTCACCTTTCTCCATGGATGTTTTCAGGTGCAGTGAGTAGAGACTGTGCTTCTGAGCTGGAAGGTTTTCACGTTTGAGCCCCACTCCAGGGTTTGATGGGCACAGAAGATACCTTCATAAATGTTTCCAAATGGGCAGAGTAAAGAATTTGCAAATCCTTCTCAGGATCTGTGTCAGGCAGTGAGAGTGAGATCAGCCATGAATGATGTGGAGTAGAAATATCAAGTTACAGCCTTTGGCAACTGCTTCCAGTAAAAACTAACTACAGAAGCAGATGTAAGCATGCCCCTTGTCATAAATACAAATCATAAAGTCCCTTCAGTGAGGAAGTAGGCCATTCGGCTCATCAAGTCCAAACCTACCCTCTGAAAGGCATCCCACCCAGACCCACCCCCCCACCCTATCCCTGAAACCCTGCACTTCCCATGCTAACCCACCTAGCCTGCACATCCCTGGACACTTTGGGGCAATTTAACATGGTCAATCCACCTAACCTGTATATCTTTGGACTGTCTTACTTATGCATAGTAGATGTGGGAAACTCTTAAATATCTTTCTGTTCCAAGGAGAACACTCCCTGTCTCTCCATGTAAATCACTCCATCCCTTTAAGAAAAAGAGGCACTTTTATTTTTCAACTTTGTAGAACGCTTTTCTGTTTTAAAATGTTTCTGGGCATTTGCAAACTACAATCTCATGTAGCCTTTACAGGGAAGATGCTGTCAGGGTAAGGCCAAGAACACGTGAGGGTTTCCTTGGAGACGATGGCTAGCAAATCCTTTAACCAGATGATGAGATGTGATTGCAATTGATTTCTGAAACCGACAATGTGAATGGCTCAGTTTCCCAACATTCTAGTTAGTTTACCTTTCAAAAAAAAAGCCTTGATGTTCTTGCCTAGAAATCTGCTTTGCGCTGTTTACCCTTTGTTTTACGCAGAGTTTGCATATTTTGAGGGACACTGAGACGGTGAAACCCTCCTAGATTGTTCTTACACGATGGAGCATGTGGTAGAATCATAAATGCTGGTGACCTGCTTCACATTCAAAACTGCTAAATTGCTCTACAAAATTGCACCCATAGCAACCAACTCATCAGTTAATGACATCACCATGGTTTCCAAAGAAACTCTAGAAAATCTATGGTAAGCTACTAACTGCAGACCCTAAAATGATTTTATTTAAACAACTGCTCAGCAGCTCAAACTGCATCATCAGAATCTTCAATAACAGCAAAAAGCCTGTTTTGTCCTTTAGCTTATTAAAGAAACATAGAATTTAGAAGCATGTGTAGGTCATTCAATCCTTTGAACCTGCTCTGCCATTCAATATGATCACGGCTGATCATCCAACTGTTCCAGCTTTCTCTCCAGAGCCTTTGATCCCTTTAGCCTTAAGACCTATATCTAACAAAACATTCAACGTTTTGGCCTCAGCTGCATTCTTTGGTAGAGAATTTCATAGGCTCGTCACTCTCTGGGTTCAGAACTTTCTTCTCAAGATCTCAAATTTATCTTCATTAGGTTCCTCCAATCCCTTTACTCTCCAGTGATCCACTGGGCTGTCTCCAGACTACATTAATACCACAGAAATGAAGATTATTCCCAAACAAGAGCTGTTAATTTTCAAACATCACAATGAGAGTAGACCATTGGACTGCTCAAACTTCTTTCATCACTTAATGTGACCATGGTTGAATTATATCTAACTTCACTAATCCAAATTGTTTCTGTAGTCCAACAAAATATTATCAGTTTCAGTTTCGGAGTTTATGATTGACACAGCCTTAACCACCTTTTGGAGGAGAGAGTTCCAGATTTTACTCCCTTTATGTGAAAACGTGTTTCTAGAATCAACCCTGAATAACCTAACTCTGACTTGATGGTTATTACTTGTCTTTATTCCAACTGGAGAAAATGATTTCTCTCCATTTACTCAACCAAATTCTTTAGTTCGTTAAAACACCGTATTTAGATCATCCACTAATTTTCTACACTCAAGGGGGTATGACCTTGTCCAATGTCATAATTTCACTGTCTAATAAAAACATGGGTATAAATAAATCTGATACCCAAAACTAATTAAATAACCCCAAGGATACATTCCCATTAATAGATTCTCGCCTGCTGCTCTTCATATAACACTAACCCCTTCCCAATCAGAGGAGCTAACCTGACGTCTTCAAGAGATTCCCATGGGATTTTTTACATTGATGCAAGAGGAGCAGACATGGCCAATTCATCTGAGAGACAATAGCTCTGACAGTGAAGCACTTCAGCGGCATTGCTCTTCTGACAATGCGGCACTCCCTCAGTACAATGCTCTCTGTAAACTGTGCTGCAGTAATGACCATGGACCCTGCACAGCCCAGCGCAATCTGCCCCTCTAATTTACTGCCCATGCAACACCTACTCAAATTGTCTTAAAGGGCCCCCATATTTCAACGGTCGGGCCAAGCGCAAAAACATTAGAGTGGGTTTTGCTTGGTATTGCTCTGAAGCTTCAACCTGGATTTTATGCTGAACATCTCTAGACGTGGGGCTTCAATCTGCAAACTCTAAGCCAGAAACGTGGAAGTTACCCCTGGACTGATGCTGACACACAAAGGTAGAGGAGGCCTAAGTTAATTCCTCACTGACGCTGTTGACCAGCACATCTTCCTCCCTGGCAGCTATGTGTGTGACATAACCCTTCATTCCGTTGAGGTTTCTACAGGGCCCGTTCTGCTTTTCACCAGGTTGCACTGAGCTGGGACCCTGGGGTCAGAGGTGGCGGGTTCGATTACCGGAGCGGCCGAAGGGTGCGCAAGAGACGGAGGACTCGCAGCATTCCGAGGATCTTTGTCCCGCTGTCGGAAACCAGGGAGACCAGAATATCAATGACAGAAATCGTCACCAGCAGCCCATCCAGGATGTTCCAGGAGCTCTTTAGATAGGTCTGCTGACCGAAGCAAAGGCCCATTGCGACCAACTGCAAAGGAGAGCAGGGAAGAGGTCACTACTGCTGGGCCATTACTACAGCAGTCCATACTTTACTTGACAATCAATCTGAGGGCACAGGGACCACATTGGCCTTAACAGCAAGGTCATATCTGAGGAATTTCGGGCAGCCTGTCCATAGGCTTATTGCAAGGCGGAAGCAGTAAGTATCATTGGGAAATAGTGGGATAATTCCTAACGGTCAATGAGGGTTTTGGCGAAAGGGCAAAAGGGGACAGCTCTGGCAATGGTCAGGGATGGGGAGAGGTTGGTTCAGTGATAGCAGTGATTTGATAGTCACAAAAATCCATCAGTTGATGGAAATCTGCTGTCTTTTCCTGGTCTTCCTCCAGATTGGGTGGATGACCATTCAATGGCCTAGCAAGTTAGCCACTGCAAGGGCAACTGGGGCGGTGGGGGTAACAAATGCTGGGTATATCAGTAACACCCACGTTCCATGAAAAAACAAATAGAAAACACAAAGTCCCACCATGCTGTGTCATTGTAACCAGGAATGAGAGATGAATGTGACCTAAACAATGATCCTCACAGCAGAATGAACACTTTTTTGTTATACGGCCAACTCACAGGTAGAACACCAAAAACAGAGCACTGAGCTATCAGCATCTCTTATCAAAGGAGATCAGAGGGAACGTTTTTCAGAGAAGGGAGTGTGAGAGAGATTCAATCGATACCTCACCCATGCTGTGATGAGTCACGGAGTTGGGGGTTGGCAAGTGCCTGGTGGTCACACCAGTCAGGGTAAGTGTTGGATAGTTTCTCATTCCCAATACAATGGGATCCTGATCAACACTGCCGGTGGGCCAAGGAATGGCAGATGGACTTTAATTTAGATAAATGTGAGGTGTTGCATTTTGGTAAGACAAACCAGGGCAGGACTTACACGGTCAATGGTAGGGCCCTCGGGAATGTTGTTGAACAGAAAGAACGTGGCATGCAGGTATGTAGTTCCTTGAAAATGGTGTCACAGGTGGACAGGGTGATGACGATGGCATTTGGCACGCATGCCTCCATCAGTCAGAACATTGAGTACAGGCATTGGGACATCATGTTATGGCTGTACAAGGCATACAGGATTGGTAAGGTCACATTTGTAGCACTGCATACAATTTTGGTTGCCCTGCTAGACGTAGGATGTTATTAAACTGGAAAGGGTGCAAAAAAGATTTACAAAGATGTTACTGAGACTTGAAGGTTTGAGTTATAAGAGCAGGCTGGATAGGCTGGGACTTTTTTCCTCTGGAACGTAGGAAGATGTGGGTTCATCATATAGAGATATTTAAAATCATGAGGGGCATAGATAAGATGAATAGCCAAAGTCTTTGCCCCAGGGTAGGGGATCCGAAACTAGAGGACATACGTTTAATGTGAGGGGGAAAGATTAAAAGGGACCCAAGGGGCAACTTTTTCACACAGAGGGTGGTGAGTATATGTAATGAGCTGCCAGAGGAAAGACATTTGGACAGGTACATGGATAAGAAAGGTTATGAGGGATATGGGCCAAATGCAGGCAGGGGAGACTAGTTCAGTTTAGGAAACTTGGTCGGAATGGACGTGTTGGGCCGAAGGGTCTGTTTCCAAGCTGTGTGACTCCACTGTTCCAACCCATTTTGGAGAACATTGACAGTGGGGATTCCTTCAGGCATTCTCCCAATCACCCTCTGGTGGCAATCTTTAACAAGTAAGACTTATTTTTACTAAGTGCACCTACGATAGCCCGTTGTCCAATGTCATCATTTTGTGGGTGAAATCACCAGCCCTCAATTGATCTAAATCCTCGTTGAGCTAGATTGGACAGCAGCGAGCAGATTATACAGTCAGGACTAGAGGGGTTCAGTTATCACATTAAAGGTGGCAAGTGTGTGACATTGTTCTGGCCGTTTCAAAATAAAAACATCTCATTCTGAGGTTTACCTTTACTGCCATCTCAGTCAAGAAGATCACTGTGAAAATATAGTTCGAAAATATCAAGAAGATTCGCTCCTTAAAGAGAACAAAAGTTTCAAGATTAGAATAAAGGCAACATCGTGCAGAATCTGAAATAACAAATAACGGGAAACACTCCATGGGTATGGCAGAATGTGCACTAGGAGAAACAGAGTCAGTAGCAAGTTTTAGGGGGCATGCATTCACTGCAATCCACCCCCACCCCTCCACTCCACCAATTAAAATGTTGGCTGGGAATTGCACCATGGGAAATCTGTAGCCATTGTGTGTTTGGTGGGGGTTTAGTTGACCAATGGTGAGGATTCCTCCCTCATCTGGGCTGGTTCCTCCTTATGGAAATGCCAGGTCAGTCTGGCTGGCTGGCGGCTCTATCATTCCAGTAGTGCTATGATGTGAGGGAGTGCCTGGATAAGGAGGTAATGGATCTGGATGTCAAGGTTAGTCTGGGATACCAGGTATGAAAGATTCTGTTTGAGAGGCTGGTGGATGAGGATTTAAGGGGAGGGGGTTTTGAATTTGAGGAGTTTGGGGGTGGTGTGCTTCTGATGGGAACAGGGAGCATCCAAAAGGAGCTTCCCACTAACCCCATCACCTCACCCCCTCCCCCCTCCCCCCCACAGCCAAACACACCTTTTAACCCGACACCAGCTCACATAGTGCTGCTAGTCTACGTCCTGAGCCGAGGCATGTCTTGTTGCGGTAAAATAGTGATGGGGTGGAATGAGGCACTCACTTGGCCTACAGAGGCCTCAATATGTGGTAATAGCTGACATTACCACTTGACACTTCAGATCCCAGAATGAAATCTGGCTTGACAGATCATATTTTAATGTAGCGGTCTTTATATAAAACACGGGCACCCCAGATTGCAGATTTTGTTTTAACAATGAAACTGAAGTTTATTATACAAAGGAAATGAGAAAAAAAACCAAGCAAACCATGCTACCTAAATATACCATATATAAAGATTTCATGACACATGATAAACACAATCCCACCTACTCCCAACACCATCAAAATCCACAGAAATTTCCCTTCCCTATCTAATAAAGTGATATTAGTTAGTTGCTTGTTTTACTTTTGGTCCTGAGAAATGTGAAGTCTTTTTCCTTGAAAACTCACACAACTGAGATCACAGACTTTCTCAACTTTAAATATCTAATCCAGTTTAACCAAACACTCCTGGTCTGGAAGTTTCACAAATTACATTCTTTCACTGAGATAATTTATTCCCCAATCCCTTTTTTCTAGGAGATACTACATTGGCATCCGGATTCAGTTAGTTTTCCTTTGAACTGCGCATAAGCTTTCCAATTTCTGGATTTTTTAAAGCTAAAATCAATCTTTGATTATTCTAAGTCCAAAAGTAAACTAATCTCTTTTTTTCTTTCCTGTCCTAAAGCCTCACAAAAGAAAAACTTTCATTAACACTCCAGAAGGCACATGCTGCATTAAAATCATGGTTCCTAAAAGACTTGCCTCGTTAATTATTAACTTTTTCAGAAAAAAAGACTGATGCCCATATGCCACCAGTTTAAAACCCAAACTCTCAAGAAAAAATGTTAATAGATATAAATCACGCACGTTTCATCACATACCCAAGGGTGAGGGGGCCACACAACATCTCTACCACACTCCTTTAGGTGGCAAGAAACAGAAATACAGAAACTAGGTGCAGGAGTAGGCCATTCAGCCCTCTGAGCCTGCACCACCATTCAATATGATCATGGCTGATCATGCAATCTCAGTATCCCATTTCCACTTTCTCTTCATATCCCTTGATCCCTTCAGCTGCAAAGGCCATGTCCAGCTCCCTCTTGAATATATCGAATGAATATATCGAATATATTGGCCCCAACAGCTTTCTGTGTTAGAGAATTCCAAGGGTTCACAATTCTCTGAAATTCTTCCTCATCTCAGTTCGCAATGGCTTATTGCTTATCCTTAGACTGTAACCCCTAGTTCTGGAAGACTGTTGGCAGACTGGCCAGGTGCTGCGTCTTAAGAACTCCCAACTTCAAACTCATTGTCAAAGAGACATAAAATCCAGTACCATCTTTCAGTCTATTGAGCCTTTACCACAAAGGGAAAACTGCAGGGGTAACAGTTTTTCAGAGCAAGAGAGGGGCAGAGTGAAGGAAAGAGCAATGGGGAAGCTTTGAGATAAGGTAGGTAGCAGGAGTGATTTGATAATGAAAGTAATATGGCAATGAGACAAGTAGCAGAGGGCGGAGGAGCTGTTCATTGTGACAGCAGAATTATTACATATACCTGCTGCACAGGAAAATGGGAGGAGTGGTTTTGATGTAAAATTGTTGAAGCTGGTGTTGAATCCACTTTTTGCAGTCTTTCATCATCATCTCTCTTGGCATTTAATCACTCCTGCCTTCCACCCTATCACAGGCCCTCTCTTATGTTCATTCCCTCTTGATGTGGTAATACTGCAATTAAGAGTAGCCACCTCCCTGGTCTAACTTGAAGAGTCTTGTTTGATAAATAATAGAAAGTTGATTGAATTTTACTTTTTCTTTTTTTTTTCTTTACTTCTTTATTCTTCTGCCTTCATATTCTATGTTTTGGTTTCTTTTTCTGTGTCTTAAGATGGTACTGGCGAGTGCTGTCACTGTACCACACTTTTCACTGTATTTTGTAACAAAGTACATGTGACAATAAATAAATCAGATCAAATCAAATCAAACCATTGCTGCAACAATTTACAGATTACATGATGACAGAGACAGTTAGGAGCATACTAGCCTCAGGTTTGTCTCCTACAAGCCCTTTCATTGCTCTGCCCATGTGGCTGTGCTATCATCATAGTGATAATAGTGATCATTGCCATCTTTAATAGGTCACTGTGCACCCGGACACGCACTGTGAGTCTGGAGGTGCCCTGCATGGACTCTGATATTTACAGACAAGGGGAGACGAGGGGAGCTGGATCTCCTGCTGGACAGGGTGATACAGAGGCAAGATTTCCCCTTTCCCCAGGACCAGCAGCGGAGACAACAACACCAGACCACGTCCAGCCTACTCCGAGGTAGCTACCCGGGTCATTGCAGTCTCAACCATCTGGAGGAACACCCAACAATTCAGGAAAAAGGTCAGTACGCTTCTCCACTCCACCAGCATTAGTGCCATCTTCTCTCCGATACCTCGCACTCAGTCTCTGCTACTGTACCCAGCTCCCAGCAAGGCTCATACTCTACCACTCTAACTATTGCATGTAACATCTTCCCTTAGTCGCTCTCACCCACCCAACGGCTGACATTACTAATCTTGCATGCCCTCTCCACTGCCTACTCACACACTCAGGACACCTCTCCACCAGTTCACAGTACCAGCTGTGCCATCCACTTTCATTTCCCTTAATGTTGGCATTCATTTCAAGGGGCCTAGAATAAAAGAGCAGAGATATACCATTAAGGCTGCATAAGGCTCTGGTCAGACTGCATTTGGAATATTGTGGGCAGTTTTGGGCCCTGTATGTAAGGGATTTCTAAAGAAGGATGTGCTGGGGTTGGAGAGGGCCCAGAGGAGCTCTACAAGAATGATTCCAGGGATGATGGGCTTGTCACATGTGGAGCGGTTGAGGACTCTGGTCTGGTACCCGATGGAGTTTAGAAGGTCAAGGGGGGATCTCACTGAAACTTACAGAATACTGAGAGACCTGGCTTGAGTGGACATGGAAAAGATGTTTCCATAGTAGGAGAGATGAGCACCTGGAGGCACAGCCTCTGAGTGAAGGGATGACCCTTTAGAACTGAGATGAGAAGGAATTTCTTTAGCCAGAGGGTGACTAATCTGTGAAACTCATTGCCATGGAGGGCTGTGAAGACCAAGTCATTGAGTGTCTTTAAGACAGAGATAGGTAAGTTTTTGATTAGTAAGGAAATCAAGGGTTATAGGGAGAAGGCATGAGAATGGTGCTCTGAAACAGTTCAACCATGATCGAGTAGACTCGATGGGCTGAATGGCCTAATTCTGTTCCTATATCTATTGTCTTTATAGTAAAACCTGCCTCTCTCTCATTCCAGGAGGAAAACAGGATAGGAGGAATCGAAGATAGTAGGAACTGCAGATGCTGGAAAATCTGAGATAACAAGGTGTAGAGCTGGATGAACACAGCAGGCCAAGCAGCATCATAGGAGCAGGAAGGCTAATCAAGATGGGTCGTAGGCTGCCCAAAATTCGGTTCCTCACTCTTCGTGTAGATAACATCTTGACCACCCTGAGGCACTGATTGACAGTGCCCAATGCCCTGGACTGGTATTAGAGGTTGCCCTTGACTTACTGTCCAGGGACTCCCAATCAAAGGCTATACCCTTGATCTGTCTGAGGCCGGCTCATAACCATGACTAGCTTCCTATCTTTGTGTCTGTGCTAAATGGCATGGTAATGCAGAAATAATATGAGCCTCATATCTTTGGCTGGGGGGGCAAAGCTCAAAAGATTAAGGCAAAGCCACATAAGGCAGGGATGTTGTAAGAATCTAAGTAGGCTCAGAGTGAGTGAGCCCTCTTACAGCAAGTGGAGAGCCCAGAGATGTAGCTTGGTTCAACCAATGAGCTGGATGTGTGTCTCTGAGCAAATGGTGTCCTTGCTGCAGCATTACAATAAGTTGACAATGTGGCCTCAGGTGTATCAGTGAAGTGGATCAGAGATGTGGCATGAGGGTTCATTGAGGCTGGCACAAGTAGGGTGTCAATGTCCATGGATGTGGGGGGTGTGTGGCCATGCCCTGAGATGTTGGTGCCCGGTGGTCCAGTATGGAGATCCTTTGGATCAAGAGGTGAGCTAAAGTCTTCAGGTACCTGCTCTGGTTTCCAAATTCACGACGTTTAGCTAGTTTGAAGCATTTGGTCAGATTGGAAGCTAAATATTAATGACATGAGTTGTGTGGTTAATAAGGAGTTTAATGAGCTGAAAAACCCCTTAATCAGCAATGCCTCACTCCCTAGCAAGAAAATCACCTTGCCACTCGGCAAATGCATAAAAGATGCAACAAAGCTGAGACAGGTTACCGGATTGCCCAC